CTCAGTACAACACCGCCTCCCCAGTCTAGCCCTCTTCCACCGCCGCCCGGTGTGAGCCCCCCCCCGTCCCCACCTCCGTCCCCGTCCCCACCATCACCACATCCCGTGAGACCTCCCAAGGCGCCGAAAACCCCCAAGGCCCCTAAAGCGCCACCCCCGCCTAAAGCGCCCAAGCCACCTAAGGCCCCAGCCCTGCCTAAAGCACCCAAGGCACCCAAGGCCCCAGCCTTCCCTAAAGCACCCAAACCACCAAAAGCGCCAGCCCCGCCTAAAGCACCCAGGCCGCCTAAGGCCCCAGCCCCGCCTAAGGCACCCAGGCCGCCCAGGGCCAGTGGTCGGCGTATGGCGGCCTGATATGCATGATGACCAATCGACACCTCCACAGGCCCCCCGGCGGGCTGCAGCCTCGCTCTTGCGCCACCGCTCCCGCCTGGTGTGTGGCCGCCTACATACTTGAGGTATCTGCGCATCTGGAGCTTCTCTTCTGCTCGTTCAGCTGTCGTTCGACAGACCTCTTTGGAGGGCCGTGTGTGCTGCTGTAGACCTGCGGCGTTGTGTCAACTTGCTTGTATCCCACTGCTCGTTGTGTCAACTTGCTTGTATGCTGTAAGCCATACTCACCCAGCTAGCTAGCTTGACGAGCTAGTTCTTCGTCGGCCGTACATTGCTTGGTGAGGTGGCACACACAGTACTGCACTACTGGCTGCCGGTCTCTTTTGAAGGCGCGGACGGGAAGGCACCTCCTTTCCGGTGCCCCAGCCGGAGGGGCGCGGAATCGACATCGACCATCATGGGCCATCAGAAGGCGGAGTTTGTTGCACCCCAGCACTCAACTGTCTTTTCGGGCTGTATGTATACGTGGCGAGCCGCCTGAATGTAGTGTACGGAGGGGCTACCAGCCCGGTGCAGCAGCGGCCTCCCGAGCGGCCGGCAAGGTGTAGTACCCCGGTATATCACGGGAGCTGCTGACATCCGCCGATCGGTTCTTTTCCGAAAAGACGTAAAATACAACACAAGGGGCCTCGATGGGGATAGTCCGCCCATAGGGGTTTGCCTGCCTATGGAAAATAGATATTATTGTGATAGACATCGATGTCGCTACTTGGTGATGTTGCTCGCCAGCATGCAGCTAGCCAGGCAAGATGATATATGCTACAGGGTAGGTACACCTTCCCGACAAACCCTGGCGCGGGTTCGTTGACTGCGCATAATGTGATGCGCGTGGTGTTGCCTACATAGCCTTGTGTTGTATTACAAGGCGGATGTTCCATTGTGCACGGTCATATGATCAGCGGCTGCTGGGGCAGGCAGCCGTACGAGGCAGGCCGTCAGCACAAGGTTCGAGTGCATTACGACGAGTACGCATACGGATGGGTTTCAAGATATTGAAAGAGTGCACAGCAGATTGTGACTGCAAAGGTTTTGCCCATGAAGAGTAACCAAACATTCGTTGAGCGAAGGCGCGTGCGTGGAGCAAGGGCTGCTGGCTGTAGCTCCACCACATTGCTGAGGCCGCATTTGCAAGGCCAGACAAAGAGTGTTCGCGGGAGATGTCAATGTGTCTAAAAATGACCTGGGGTGGGGGTTCACTGCAGGAAATATTCTTTGTGGCTGCTGTGCAATTTTTAATTAAGCTGGTGACTGCAATGCCACTGCATTCCCAGCAAGTGCATGGTCATCGTCATTTACATCCTGAACCTTGCTGCTGTTTAGTTCTGTGCCCCGCCGCTGGCGGACCCCCACCTACATAAGCTTAGCCCAGCCCGCCGAAACCCTGTGGTGCACTAATCTCATAGTGGCTCATAGTTCGTTGGGAGCATTGATTAGGTCACGTTGTGGCAGTACTGCTGTCTCACTGATGCCAGCTTCTTGAGTTTTATATCCGTCCATCCATATCCATCTACCCGAACCTTGATTTCTTGTACATATATGTACATATGTATGTATGTGTGGCCCCATGCAGACTTGCTAGCTTCGCTGCCTGGCTCTCCTTGTCCGTCATTCGGACGACCCAGGTCTATCGCTCGACGTCTATTCCCCCCTCCCCCCTTCCGGTAGTAGCTGGCCTCTGAAAAGGCCTCTGACGCGCTCACGATGCTGGCAGGGCTCCTCATTAGTGCTTATTGATAGGCGATGTGTGTGCCGTATTGTACGACGGCTATAGCCGTCGTACAACAGTAGTAGCTACTGCGCGTACCCTGTATATTTCTACGTACACTAAGCAAGGTAGCGCTCTCTCCGACGATTTGAGGTTGTACATATATGTTTTGCCTTTTGGTTTATTAGATTGCCTGCGGCTGATGATGATGATGATGATGATGGTGATGATGAGTGCGTGCTGAGCGGGACTGCCTTCCTTGCCTACGTAGGCAGGTGACCAAATAATATTTTTGTAAGAACTGTTGAGGGGAAAGAGAAAGGCGCGCGTTGGGCCGTTGGGTCTCCTGGGGGCCTCATATTGCTTCCTGCCTGCCTCATACAGGTCAGAAACATGAGTGATGATCGCTCCTATGTATGATGTGTGAAACAGGGGGGTTATATCATCACCCGTGGCAGCTACCATGCGAAACCCTGCCTTCCCCAGTATTTCGGGGCACCCTCATCTAGTCACCCTAAGTCAACTTCTCAGTGGATCGCTCAGGTTCCGCACCCACCACCAGCATCCAACGGAATCTGCCGGGTCGACAGCGGCCCAACTCCATTCCTGTTCGGCTCGCAGATTATCCCAGGTCACCACCGTCTATCAACTAGGGGCGCAATACCTTCCACCATCGGAATGATTATCGACCTTGATAGATCTCAATCTCGAGATCTCCCGGGGGCAATGGTCGCGCGTCACCAATGGTGCCTAACCCTAGTAATGTATCTATTCATGTATGTATGTATGTATGTATGTATGTATGTATGTATGTATGTATGTATGTATGTATGTATGTATGTATGTATGTATGTATGTATGTATGTATGTATGTATGTATGTATGACGTTGATTACACTGTGGGCTGAAAAGCCGGGGGCCCAGGGCCGAAGCACAGCGCGGGGGGCGGGTGCATACGGCTGGTTAGTCTCATGCACTCCGCCCCCGGGTCAGGCCGCACGGGAAACGACGGCCGGCACGCAACAGCGCTTGTTTGGCGCTCCAACTAGACGGGATCTATGCCCGTTGGTCTCCTAACATAAACGAAGTCGCAACTGGGGGGCTCTTCCTGCCGACCGAACGAACCGAGCATCTCAGAGAGCTCGCTACCAGGACTTGGGCGACCGGGAGCCCGACGAGTCTTCCCGGGCTGGGGAGGTCACCAAGCTCAAAAATCCTCACGCAAAAAAGAGCGCAAAGAGCTCACACCACAAGACGCCAAACAGCCTCCTGAGACTACTACCCTCCTCCGCCTCTCCCTCCCTGGGCTAGTCCAGGGGAGATAGCCCCCGTCGAGGGGGTAACACCGCACAAGTCCGCGCCCTTCCACAGCACTGGGTCTAAATTGAAAAGTACTCAAACGGGAAGACCCTGCGGCAACGCAGGGCGATCAAGCCTCCGGAAACCACAGGGGGGGAGGGTAGCCAGCTCGGCGCCCCCCCAATACCGCTCTACCAAGACGGCTGGTTCCCAAGATCCTATCTCACCTAGACGCCGCACCACGAAAAACCCGGTCTCGTACCCTGAAGAACCTAGTCCTGCACCACGCGCGCACCTTCGAGTACGGCCCCCCCTTCTGGGTGCCCACCTCCCCCTCATCCGCGCCCTCGCTACGGCCACCTGTTTCCACTCACCACTCCTCAACCCTACATCCTCTTGGTGTACTCTGTATGTATGTATGTATGTATGTATGTATGTATGTATGTATGTATGTATGTATGTATGTATGTATGTATGTATGTATGTATGTATGTGTGGGACAGGGGGTCATATCTTGTCCCTGCAGCCGCTACCCTGCGAAACCCTGCCTCCCCCGGTATGTATGTATGTATGTATGTATGTATGTATGTATGTATGTATGTATGTATGTATGTATGTATGTATGTATGTATGTATGTATGTATGTATGTATGTGTGGGACAGGGGGTCATATCTTCACCCTGCAGCCGCTACCCTGCGAAACCCTGCCTCCCCCGGTATTTCGGAATCTGCCGGAACGACGGCGGCTCAACTCCATTCATGGTCAGCTCACAAGTTACCTTTATCCCAGGTCACCACCGTCCATCGACTGTGGACCTTAAACCTTGCATCATCGGAAGGATTTCGACCTTGACAGGTCTCGAATCCGGGATCTCCCGGGGCCAAAATCGTATTGTGCCAGGCCATGCCCCCCAAACCGCATCATGCCAGGCCATGTCCCCCGAACCGCATCATGCCAGGCCACGCCCCCCAATCACATCATGCCTGGCCATGCCCCCCGAACCGCATCATGCAAGGCCATGTCCCCCGAACCGCATCATGCCAGGCCATGCCCCCCAATCACATCATGCCAGGCCATGCCCCCCAATCGCATCATGCCAGGCCATGCCCCCCAATCACATCATGCCAGGCCATGCCCCCCAATCGCATTGTGCTAGGCAAAACCCCAAACTGCACTGCGCCCGGCCACTCCAGTCCCCGACAGCATCCGCCCAGGTACCTGCCAGATCATTTTGCATGGGCCCATTACTGGAAGTTCAGTTGCGCAAGTCCTCGTGCTGCATTGATTCCATTTGACCGTCCAACCGAAACCGTTGGTCATTATTAACGTTGATCACTCGATCGTTTACAGAACTGCTGTATTCGCCACTTATTGATATTTTTATTATTAACCGTTATACGGCCGGTACGGCGTTTATTGTACGACACCATTCGTTCGGTCATTGCTCGTAGTTGGCGCTGCATGCAGCCAACAAGTTATTAAGCCAACAAGAATGGCGGCAACTGATGATGATGACCATGATTATAATGATGCCGATGATGATGATGATGATGATGATGATGATCATGATCATGATGCCGATGATGCCGATGGCCTTTACAGCAGTTGATAGTTGCGGCTATATGCCGCCGCCACCGTCACCGCCGCCGCCAGCCAACTGGCCAGCAGCGGCGGCGCCCGGCTGGGTGCAGCTGGGTGCGGAGGAATTGCACCCAGCAGTGCACCTGAAGGAAAAGGGACAAGGCGGGGGAAGGGCGCGGGAGGCCAAAATACGGTTAGCAGTACGACACAACTAACACACACATAATTAGGTGACAGTTGCAAGGGTACCGCTGCTGGTCCCCACGACGCACACCCCATGCACCAAAACCCCAAGCCCATCCGCACCCACCTCAGCCGGGTCCATCATCAGCAACGCCCGCTCGGTGCCACTGGGGCGCACAGGTTGATGCCCCAGCCGCACCTGAAGAGGAGGTGCGTGATAAAGGGGGAAACGGCCAGAGGGGATAGGTAAGGGGGCAGCATACACGGGGGGGAGGGGGTAAAACACCAAATGTCATTATTTTGCCCAAAAGTCACAAGGCCTCGTTGCGACACGTGCGCTGCGGCCCTGCGGCCTTTTTCCGCGACCACTAGTTGAACCCAAATCACGAAGTACGCACCACACACACACACACGTCGCCCACCCACCCACCCATCCACCCACCTGAGACGGGCGTTATAAAAGTACGGCCGGCCCCTGCGTGCGGGTGCCGGCAGGCCGGACGACTCGTACGCCCCGAGTCCCGGCAGCCAGTCGACCCTGCATTCGGGTCCTGGCACCAGGGAAGCTGCCGCAAACCCTGGCGATAAAGGGCCCGGGCCATGGCCACTGCTGCAGCTGCTTGCTGATCTGCCGGCTGCTGCTGCTGCTGCTGCTGCTGCTGCTGCTGACTACATAATGAAAAAAGTAAAAATACGGTGACAGGAGGTGCAAAGGCCTGGGAAAACCCATAACCTCTACAACCCCGGCACCCTAATGCACGCCTTAGCTTATTAGGCTGAGGCGCATTACTAATCTATAATAAGATATTTGAAACAGAGAAAATAAATAAATAAATAAATAAAGCGGAAATAGATATCAGCTTTATTTATTCATCTATTTTTATTTAATAAGGTGTAGCCTCCCCTTAATTAGGTAATCCCTAAACAAATGAAAATCAATTGTGCACAACCAGGGCTGTGGGCACCACAAACGAAAACACGACAGACTGTACACGCGCGGCAACAGCCGTGACACGCACACACTCGCTGATGCTGGTTGTTGGCTGCTGGCTGATAGCTGCGTAGCGTAGCCCATTTAGGCAATATAACTGGCTGCGGCTGCTGGCTGGTTAGATAACGCTAGCTGCCATCCACAAAAACCAGCGACGACAATAAAACCGGTCGGTCACCACCAACTGTCCACCAAATGTCCACCAACTGGATCAACATCTGCCAACCTCTTCCAACCAAACATATCTCCAACGGACAACTTCCACCATGACAACCATATTTCTCGACCCGATCCTCCATATCTTTGGACTCCCTTATTTTCCTGCTTTGAACTAGTCCTTCCGTTTGCAACGAATGTCGTGGTTTGAGCAACGATGTCTCCCTTTTCATCTTTCTTTTGTGCATGGTAGGTTTGAAAGCAGAAGGGTGATAAGAGGAAAGGAAAAAAGGCCGCGGTGGCAGCAATGCCAGAGGTGAAGAGCCGCAGCGGCGGCAGGGGAGGGAAATGCACCGCAAGAACAGCAATTTGCTGAAGCGATGAGAGGAAAGGAAAAAGGCCGCGGTAGCAGCAATGCCAGAGGTGAAGAGCCGCAGCGGCGGCAGGGGAGGGAAATGCACCGCAAGAACAGCAATTTGCTGTAGCGATGAGAGGAAAGGAAAAAGGCCGCGGTAGCAGCAATGCCAGAGGTGAAGAGCCGCAGCGGCGGCAGGGGAGGGAAATGCACCGCAAGAACAGCAATTTGCTGTAGCGATGAGAAGAAAGGAAAAAGGCCGCGGTAGCAGCAATGCCAGAGGTGAAGAGCCGCAGCGGCGGCAGGGGAGGGAAATGCACCGCAAGAACAGCAATTTGCTGTAGCGATGAGAAGAAAGGAAAAAGGCCGCGGTGGCAGCAATGCCAGAGGTGAAGAGCCGCAGCGGCGGCAGGGGAGTAAAGTGCAGTGCAAGGACAGCACAAAGGCTGTAATGCCAGATGTGACGGCGACGGCGACCTCGCCGAAGGTGAGAAGGCGACGCGATGGCGTGGCGCCGGCGACGGCGAGAAGGCGAGGCGAGGCGCCGTCGGCGTTAGGGCGACGGCGACCTCGCCATAGGTGAGAAGGTGACGCGATGGCGAGACGCCGGCGGCGAGACGGCTGAGGGGGATCCGGGGATTCGGGCGGGGATGACGTGGTTACATACACACTACAAGGCGGTTTCGGAGTGGCCGACTTGACAACAGATTCCAACGAAACGCAAGACATGGAACCAAACGACCCTCGACAATGCCATGCCATCATGCATACCACAACAAAGGGTTGATGATGCAGATTGACTGGTGGTCGGCAATACAAATCCGGCATCCCAAATCCGACATGCTATGGCAAAGCGTTGCAAGACGGCATGGGGACGTGTGAAACGAGGCCCCTCTCGTACTTACATTCTCACACATGACGGCGATGTACGGCGGTGGCGACGCCTGTGATGCTCGTCGCGCCGATAGGTGTTGTCCTGTTGGAAGTCCTCGCCCAGGCTCGCTCAGACCGGTGGCGGGAACGGGCGGGAAGTGGGCGGGGAAATACACACACACACGCTGTTAATCAGCTAGCAGGGAACACAACGAGCACAGACTTTGCACAGCAAAACGACATGGGCAGTTGTGCACAATATGCAGAAACGTACTAATACGCACACGGGCACATCGCGGGCAGTTGGGAATTCTCCATCACAAGTAAAATGAGTAGCACCCTCACACATACACATACGTATACGCGTGCGCGCATGCACACACACACACACACATACACCCTCTTACACACACCTACATACACTTACACACGCACACGCGCGCGCGTGAGCACATTCTCGCCCACATTTGAACAGATACCTACATACAAACATACAAACATACAAACATACATACATACAATTGCGCACAAATACAAAACACTGAAGACCGCAACAATAACCATCGGCCGGCTTTGCAGCTTCTATCTGAGTTTGCTGACCTTATCTTTGCAGTTTGCTGCCTTTGTGCTTTTGCTGTCGCTGTTGCTGTTGCTGCTTGCCGGCACGACAGGAGAAAAACACCGCGCCATGAAACGCCCACAGCAAGAAACTTTGCTCCGAACGTATGTACGACATCACTACATCACGAACGGACACAAAGTGGCACCCACGCAGTGAACATACGGGGAAAGACCTTCATGCCGTACTCCCTACACGCCGCACCTTACCAAGGTACAACAATTTCATACCGAAATCCCCCTCCGTCACCAACTCGTCTATGCATTTGCAACGCGCCTTCACCCATAGAATCCAAGAACGATGGCCGACCTTGATATAACGTGTAACGGCCTCACGGCCGGAAATCTAGGCGCGTTCTAACTAACGTACGATATGTACGGGCGACCGTGCATCCGGCGTCACTCACCGGCAGCGGAAGACGATGTGAGCTTGACTGCGTTGATTATAAGCGTTGACAACGGTGAGACTCCGACGGCGAGGCGCCGTCGGCGTTAGGGCGACGGCGACCTCGCCGCCGGCGAGAAGGCGACGCGATGGCGAGACGCCGGCGGCGAGACGGCGACGGCGAGAAGGCGAGGCGAGGCGCCGTCGGCGTTAGGGCGACGGCGACCTCGCCATAGGTGAGAAGGTGACGCGATGGCGTGGCGCCAGCGGCCGGCGAGAAGGCGAGGCGAGGCGCCGTCGGCGTTAGGGCGACGGCGACCTCGCCAAACGTGAGAAGGCGAAGCGATGGCGAGACGCCGGCGGCCGGCGAGAAGGCGAGGCGAGGCGCCGTCGGCGTTAGGGCGACGGCGACCTCGCCATAGGTGAGAAGGCGACGCGATGGCGAGACGCCGGCGGCGAGACGGCGACGGCGAGAAGGCGAGGCGAGGCGCCGTCGGCGTTAGGGCGACGGCGACCTCGCCGCCGGCGAGAAGGCGACGCGATGGCGAGACGCCGGCGGCGAGACGGCGGCCGGCGAGAAGGCGAGGCGAGGCGCCGTCGGCGTTAGGGCGACGGCGACCTCGCCAAAGGTGAGAAGGCGACGCGATGGCGAGACGCCGGCGGCGAGACGGCGACGGTGATGAAAATGGCATGACGGTGACGGCTGAGGGGGATCCGGGGATTCGGGCGGGGATGACGTGGTTACATACACACTACAAGGCGGTTTCGGAGTGGCCGACTTGACAACAGATTCCAACGAAACGCAAGACATGGAACCAAACGACCCTCGACCATGCCATGCCATCATGCATACCACAACAAAGGGTTGATGATGCAGATTGATTGGTGGTCGGCAATACAAATCCGGCATCCCAAATCCGACATGCTATGGCAAAGCGTTGCAAGACGGCATGGGGACGTGTGAAACGAGGCCCCTCTCGTACTTACATTCTCACACATGACGGCGATGTACGGCGGTGGCGACGCCTGTGATGCTCGTCGCGCCGATAGGTGTTGTCCTGTTGGAAGTCCTCGCCCAGGCTCGCTCAGACCGGTGGCGGGAACGGGCGGGAGGTGGGCGGGGAAATACACACACACACACACACACACACACACACGCTGTTAATCAGCTAGCAGGGGACACAACGAGCACAGACTTTGCACAGCAAAACGACATGGTAAGTTGTGCACAATATGCAGAAACATACTAATACGCACACGGGCACATCGCGGGCAGTTGGGAATTCTCCATCACAAGTAAAAAGAGTAGCACCCTCACACATGCACATACGTATACGCGTGCGCGCATGCACACACACACACACATACACCCTCTTACACACACCTACATACACTTACACACGCACACGCGCGCGCGTGAGCACATTCTCGCCCACATTTGAACAGATACCTACATACAAACATACAAACATACAAACATACATACATACAATTGCGCACAAATACAAAACACTGAAGACCGCAACAATAACCATCGGCCGGCTTTGCAGCTTCTATCTGAGTTTGCTGACCTTATCTTTGCAGTTTGCTGCCTTTGTGCTTTTGCTGTCGTTGTCGCTGTTGCTGCTTGCCGGCACGACAGGAGAAAAACACCGCGCCACGAAACACCCACAGCAAGAAACTTTGCTCCGAACGTATGTACGACATCACTACATCACGAACGGACACAAAGTGGCACCCACGCAGTGAACATACGGGGAAAGACCTTCATGCCGTACTCCCTACACGCCGCACCTTACCAAGGTACAACAATTTCATACCGAAATCCCCCTCCGTCACCAACTCGTCTATCCATTTGCAACGCGCCTTCACCCATAGAATCCAAGAACGATGGCCGACCTTGATATGACGTGTAACGGCCTCATGGCCGGAAATCTAGGCGCGTTCTAACTAACGTACGACATGTACGGGCGACCGTGCATCCGGCGTCACTCACCGGCAGCGGAAGACGATGTGAGCTTGACTGTGTTGATTAGAAGCGTTGACAATGGGGGCCCTTGCTTCACGCCGACGCAACATCGCACTGGGGTCTTGGAGAGTTGAAAATGTGGTGTACGCAGAGATTCTCGTTGCCAGGTGGAATGCGGTCGATCTGGAAGGTCTTGGGCAACTCCAATGAGCAGTCGTCTCTGTCGCGAGGAAGGTCACGGACATCGGACGAAGTGGTCATGTCTCGCCTAACGACGTGTACTTTCCTGCCAGACCGCCTAGCTTTCAGCCTTCGTAGACTCCTTACACAGCTAAAGCACAACTGTCGGGATTACGCTCAAACGCCGCATACGCCCATATTCTTGCAGCAGAGCGCTGCACAAACACATGCCCGTCGAAAGCCCGTCGACAAAGCCCCTTATGTTTCAAAGATCCATACACAAGCTCGAGAAGCAAACATCTCACCTCAAAAAAATGAGTTGCCGCAAGTCGCACCTTGCCCTCACAAATGAGTCAGGCAAGTCGATGTCCGTGAAGCGGCGACGCTGTGCCTGAAGCAACGCCAGCAGGGGTTCAATAAATAAATGCTTGGGATAACCGCGTAATAAATTAGAGCAATGGAACTGAAGTGCGGCGGCTACAGCATGAAGGTTTTGCAACGAACAGTACCTTGCAAACGTTTGCAGGGTCCACAGCAGCTTCTCAGGGCGCCGCGCAGCTGTTCAGGCTTCCTCATTTGCTGGTCATATGTAGGAAGCTAGCAGCTTTTACGGACGCACCAGAGCTGGAACAGGCCGAAAAGAAGGGCTCAAACGTTGGGTGAAAGTCTGTGATCAAATATCGGACGTTGTGCACATTTGCTAATGGAGCTGGAAGTGCTATGGGAGGTGCCTTTTGTCAGAGGCCAGTTAAATTGTACGGCGCAACAGCTGCAAATCCAAGTGTGTTGGAAAGGTGCAGTTCGGCGAACTCACTTTGTCGACAGTTAGCCTATTAACTTTTATATTATAGCTGTATGTCACTGCATTATCACGTTCACCTTCGTTCCTCTGCACCCTGGTTACGTCCTCCCCGGAAGCAAGATCCCTAAGGGCAAGCCTTGCAAACAACAGGTCAAGTTATCATGAAGGGCGTTGCTTCATTTTTGCTTATGTGGCATAGCGGGCGATTGACGTAATCTGCNCATGGCGGAAGTGCCAAGAGCTATTGATACAGCGTTATGGTTCTTGAAGTTCTTCTTGAGTATCTAAGGTGCTTTAAGTCACGTTTGCTTACAAAAGGAACTGCGGCCCGAACAAGGGCGCCATGGAACTATCATGGGGGGCTTTCCTTTGACAGGGCTAAGCCATCCGTAGCTTCTTCTTTCGAGGTCATCCATCGATGCACCATCATTGTCACCCAGCACTGCTGTGAGCAGCGAGATCGTGCACCGCCCAGCTCCCTATCACCCTATATCCCTCCCGTTCACCCTCGCCTGTTAGCCCCTTCCCGCCACATTTCCGTTCCCTATCACTTGTTGCCACTAGGGGCACTTTTACCTTGAACCATCGGAAGGATTTTCAACCCTAACAAGTTACAAGTTCCACACTTGCGTGCGGAACCCGCACTTGCGTGCGGGTGTGTCCGTAAAAGCTGGGGGTCCATGGATGTTATATTAGTAGTATTGATGCGGGTACACAAGTGGTGCTCGGTGCCATAACCCTGCCCACACCCAGCCTGGCTACCGATGTGTAAGATCAGCTCCATCACTCTGCTGTCATCCCAACACCAAGTGACAATATGTAATCAGCAGCTGCCTTCATGGTGGCGACCGAGCTGCGGTAGCCTGATAGTGGTCCACAGGGTGGCTGCAAGACAGACGGTCCGACACATCCAAGTGCAAGAGAGTGTATGTATAATGTGTGGGACAGGGGGTCATATCTTTACCCTGAGGCCGCTACCGGCGTGTAGCCTGTTGCCCTCACAGTAATTGATAAGTCGCCTCCCGATGATATTGCCGTGTTGTTTGCATAGTGGGCCCCCAACCGCAATGCCCCGATAACTGTCGCAGCAGGACGCGCCCCCCTTTTTGTATACGGGGAAAAGGGTGCTAGTCGTGAATAATCAGCTCGCGGATATTCAGCTCCGTATATGCGGTTGCATAGCACCGTTAAGTAAGGCGCCAACACAAACACGGGCCGCTGCCCTTCACTCTCCCTGATAGCGTACCTATAATACTCGGCCGGGGTTCCCTCCAGGCCCACGGACAGGCTATGTTGCGCATAGCCTTGAGACCGCTAACAATTTCGCCCTCCGTAGAATCCTTGTTAAGCCAAGCAACCAATTCCCGTCGGTGCATCACCCGGTCCTCATCCTGCCATTTAAACTGTATACCCTCGTCCTGAATAGCTGTCTTCCTAGTAGCCTTCTTCAAGACACGGTGCTTGGCCTTCCAGGTAGCCCTATGAATGTCCGGCAGCTTGCCCGAGACGGGGTCCCTGATCTCCTTACGGAAACTCATCATATCATTCCGCACAGCGGCACAGTCCTCGTTCCACCAGTCACGCTTCACAAAATTCACCTTTCCCCATGCGACGCCGAACATCTCCCTATCACACGTCCCGATGAGGGTGCGCAAGTCATTCATGCTTTCATCACAAGAGGCCCCTTCTCCTTGAGTTATCCTGTCCTCCCTCACCTTACACACACACAGACACACGCACGCACACACAAGCACCCTCTCTCTTCCCAACGCATCCACCCACCTTGTCCACAGCCACCCTTCGCCCCTTCTCCCCCCCAAGCACACACACACACACAGGTACATGAGCGTCTACTCATGTACCTGTAACACGGCTCGTTCCATAGGCTGCCATACCCCCATGATGCGGCAGTGCAGAGCGTCGCAAACTTGGTTGGTTTACATCGCAGTGAACAGGATGCGGAGACAGTAGAGCTCTTTGGCCAGTAGAGCTCTTTGGTCAACCGTAATCTATGGAAGTTGCCATCATAGCGTAACTGCGCGACAAAGCATACGTTTTTCAATTATGCTTTGCACCATCAACATTGCTGACACGAAGAGGGAAGGTCTTTGGCCCAAACAACAAATCTTTCCTGAGAATGAATTCACACAGCGAAAGTGCTCGAATGATCGAGGAGGGATCGTGGCCAGCTCTGCAATGTGAAATTTGAAGCCGAGAGCGTCTCGGTGCGTGCGAGCACCGTTGTTTCACGTGAAGTAAAGTTGTGTTTCAGCTATTTTCGGTATTATCTGTTGCTTCTGTTAACTGAAATTTTGTTACCCGTTTGAGAATTATTTTGGTAACTGGGTTGTAGCCGTATGTTCATGTCACGGAACCAAGGGTCATTTGCATTTCACTCCACAGACTCCAGACAGCGTTTACAAACCTATCTAACCAACACTTGGAGCTCTAAATATCTCATCGCATCTCTTCCTTTCGCTTTCATGCTTTATGCGTGCGTCCAGTTACACGCGGCCGACGGCGTTTGTGAAGTAGTAGGCTGCTGCATGCTGAACCACCGAACAGCCAGCAGCGCTTCCAACACGTTCCCTGGCCCTCCGCTTTCCGGACACCATCACACAGAATACCATATTACCATCATATTTGAATTGGATGGGAGCGGCGCTATGTCGTTGCGTCTCGTGCGGCGCCCCAAGCAATGCCGCTCGCCCCGATATTGATGCCAGCACCGCAACTTTTGCCAGCAGCAAGCCAAATCAAATCTGCGATCCTCCTTAGCAACAGCAGCAGCTCGAGATCGCACTGACTGCGGACGAGTCCGAGGCACAGCGCATTGCTGCCCCATGGGTCCTTCCAGCGCACCTCAACGTCACTTCGGACCTTTCGGCCACCAACGCGCAGCACCTTTGCCAGCTTCCCGCCATTCGCGAAGATTCGTCATCGTCCTCAGCTGTCGCTGCCGCGACCGACTTCCTTAGCCTTAGAGCTGCAACGGCAGGCCTTAGCGCAGAAGCAGCAGCAGCAGCAGCAGGAGCTATTAGTCATTAGGAACAGGCCCCAGTTCAAGCATTCCAACGCGAAGCCGTCGAGCAGAGGCAAGTACGGCGGGACCTGCTTCCGACGGCACCGCTGCCGCCGCCGCCGCGTTGCACCTGGCAGGACGCGGTCGCCACAAGCAGTATTGGCGCCACCGACAGCCCCTTCGCCGCCACCGCCGGCGCCGCCACTGCCGTACCAGCCTCCGTACCATCTGCCACCGGGGGAGTTCCCGGGGTGTTGGGGCGCCTGCGACCCCGCACCCCGCGCGCGTTCCTGCTCGCCGACTTGCCGCGCGCGGCTCCTGCGGCAAACAACAAGAACAACAAGAACAACAACAACAACAACGATAACAGCAACAACAGCATCCGCAACCACGCTGCGGCAGCGGCACTAAGCGCCGGCGGCGGCGGCGTGGAGCCCAGTTACACACCGGATTCGTCCACGCCAAGATCCGGTTCCGTCGGCAATGCACAGGTCAGCTACAGCTCCGCCGGCGGCGCCGCTACTGGCGGCACCGCCGCCGTCGCCGCCGCTGCTGGCGGTGGTGGCGATGACTTGTACTCCTTTGAAGCCACAGGTTCGGGACGGTCGGCGATGGAGTACCAAGCCATGACGTCAGCGCTGCCGCCGCCGTCGCCACGCCGCCGCCGCCACGACGGCGACGGCGGTGACCGCGGGCTCAAGAGGGCATCGCGGGGTTTACAGCACACGCGGACGATAACACGATACGGCAGGTGGGGGCTGGGAGGGAGGTGGTCGATTGCTGCGGGGTGTGTGGGGGGCCAGTAGGTGGGGGTGGGGGGTGGGGGTAGTCGGGGGGAGGGGGAGGGGGAGGGGATGATGGTGTCACCGGCGCTGAGAGCGGCGCTGCGACAGGCCAAGCTTCGATCACGCTGCTCGCAGTCCGTTTCGCAATTCGATCCTCAGTCGCAGCTATAGCTCCCGCAGCAGCAGGAACAGACCCGTGGGTCGTTTCTGCTACAGCCCAACACGCTCGTGTCCTTCCTCTGTAGCGTCGTCCGCCGCAACCTCGGCTGTAGTCGTCACCATTGGCACCAATGTGCCGTCAGCTGGAGTGAATTCCGGGCTACAGTCGCAACAGCCGCCGCCGCCGTTGCCGTCGCGGGCCAGCCTGGCGGCGGCGCTGGCGCACACAGGCGACGGCTCGCTCAGCGCCGCATCCTGGCTACAGCCACCACCGCCGGTGACGCCGCCGCCACCGTCGCGAAACAGCGTCCCGCAGCAGCAGCGGCCGGAGCAGCAGCAGATGTTGACTCAACAGCTATCCGAGTCGTACGGATCTCAATATGTCGTATCCACGTTGCAAAACATGTACGGCGGATCTACAGGGCTGAGGCCGCAGCTGCAAGCCGGGACGTGGGGTCAGGAAAGGTCGATGCCGACGCCGACGCCGCCGACGACGACGACGCAGCAGCAGAGGCAGGCGGAGGTGTTGGCGGAGAGCGGCTACCGGGTGCTGCTACAGCTGGCAGCCGCCTGGTCCCCGCGCGCCGGTGATTCCTGTGCAACCACAGCAGCGAAGTGGCTCGCCGCAGCCGCCGCCGTCGCCGTCGCCGCAGCTGCCGTCGCCGTCGCCGCCGCCGCCGCCGCAGCAGCAGCCACCGCCATCACAGGTCGAACCTGCTGCCCCAGGAGGGGTAGGAGGGCGGCCTGGCGTATCCGGCAGTCGTACGACACCGCTGCTGTTGCCGTCGCTGGAGAAGTCGCCAAGTCGCCGAAAAGGTTCACAGCTGGCGGTGACGGCACGTCCTCACTGTACGGCGGCGCCCGTGTAGCCACGGCGGCGGCGCCTTCCGCCGCTGATCGCGCTACTTGGGCGCTACAGGGTGGTGGCGGCAGCCGCCTCAATGACGTGCGTGGCGTGCTGCGTGATGGAAAGGATGGTATCGGAGCGGGATGCCGTGATGTCCGGGAAGCCGAGCCAGAGAGGGTGTCTCTGTCTCCTGGGCGCGGAGGCCGCAGCGGCAGCGGAGGCGCGAGGCGGCGGAGGCGAAGGCTCGGAGAAGGGCATTACCCTTGGCGGCGGCGACGGAGGCGACGGAGATGATGAAGACGACGGAGGCAGTGGCGGCGCCGAAGAGGAAGTGGAGCCGAGTGCTGAAGCTCCCGCCGCCGCCGCCGCCGCCGCCACTGCCTCAGCCGCCGCCGCGGCTCCCACAACACCCGCCAGTGCGTTCCACAGCGGCAATCAGTCGGGCAAGTCGTTGGGCGGCGCTGGCAAAGGTAACAAGCTCCGGGAGAAGTACGGCACCAAGGCGGCAGCCATGGGGCTTTGTACGGCACCTGATCGCAGCAGCCGCCCCGCGCAGACGGCACCAGCGACCCTTAGGGCGCAGATGCGCGCGGCGGCAGTGATGGCGGCAGCGGCGGCGGCAACTCCGGCGCTCGCGCGTTGTCAACCGTCATCGCGGGAAGCGCGGGTCGCATCAGCGGCGACGGCGTTGCGTCGCCGTACGTCCCACGTGGATCAATGTCAGCCCGGTTGCCGTCACCCATGCGGCCCAGAGGGGATTTCGGTAGTTACGGCGGCGGCGGCGGCAGCGGCGGCTTGGCCAGCGGCGGCAGCTTGAGCGAGGGGGCTTTCGCCAGCGGCATGATCGTCCTTGGCGGCAG